ATCGCAACAAAACTCGCGATACTACATATCTATACCGTGTGGATGACTGGCGGTCCTATACTGTGCGATTTAAAAGGTGTGTTCTTCCTCGCACAACTTCCTTATGGAATCGGCTACGACCAGAGAATTTTTTGACCAATACGACTTAGAGACATTAAAGAAAAAAGCCTACTCCTTTTTAAAAGGCTTGCAATGCATCTGCAATTCCCCTAGTGTTGCAATTGTTCATGGGCGGTACTCACTTACCATCATGTGAGCCGTATGCTCGTTTGCCACCTACAATTTCCATTTTTTTAGTAATTTCGATACATGCTTAAGTCATGAAATTATAATTACCAAAAAAAGTACAAAAAATGAGTCAAACATAATGTTTACCGCTAAACTTCTAGAAGGTGTGGATAGCATCGTGAATTTCACGATGCGTGGTGGTGTAATTTGGCGGCTGGAATTAATCCAACCAATTCCTCTTAGTAGGAAGGAATTACTCTTAACAAGGAATTTCGCAAGGTACTCCTGAGCTACTTGCATCCATCGACTTCCTACATCTCTGTCGTTTAAGTGCGGTGTCAACCTGCACTTCATGTATCAGTACGAGGCTGCAATATATTTATTATTTTTATTTATTTTTCTGGTTTTTCTTTCTGTTTATTTGGTTTATATTTTTGTACTATATTTTTATTCTATGTATACATTTTTCTATTTACACTTAAGCTCTTATAAAAATTCCTTATGACATCTCTTTGCGTTCTCTAACGCATTAAACTAAAGTACTAGGAAGTACTTAGAGGAATTGCCGCTATATTTTACTAACACACATCGTGAAAAAACTCAAGATTTAATCTATTACGCATATCTTTTTTTTTTTAATATAATTCCGATGTGTGTGTGGGTGTGTGTGTGTATGTGTGTTTGTGTGTGTGTGTGTTCGTATATCAATGAATGGCAAATTGTTGAACAACATTAGATACGCAGACGACACGATATTAATCGCCGATAGTCTCTCGGGTCTTCAAAGGTTAGTAGATTCAGTGGTTTCCGTTAATGTTGAATACGGTATTAACATCAATACCAATAAGACGAAGTACATGGTAATAAGCCAAACACCTGTGCTTATCACGTACTAGTAATCCTTAAATGGTCAGGGTCTTGAACAGGTCACCAAATTCAAATATCTAGGCACAATGGTTGACGAAACAGAAGATCACAGCTTCGAAATACGATACAGAATAGAGCAGGCATTCAACACCTTCTCGAGAATGAAAAAATTTCTTTGTGACTGGAACCTAACTATTTCTCTTCGAACACGCATAGCGCGGTGCTATATCTTTTCTGTACTTCTCTATGGTGTAGGAGCTTGGGTGCTGACAGATGCCACGTCTAAAAAACTGGAAGCGTTCGAGATGTGAGTGTACAGACGCATGCTAAGAATTTCTTGGAGTGACCGCGTACGAAACACCACCGTGCTACAAAGAATGCGGAAGGTCACAGAGATACTTACAAACATAAAGAGGAGGAAATTAGAATATGTTGGGCACATGATGCGTAACACCAAAAAATATGAACTCCTTCGACTTATCATTCAGGGGAAAGTGGCAGGCAGAAGGAGGCCTGGCCGCAGAAGGATATCGTGGCTAAAGAACTTGCGCCAGTGTTTCGGGAAGAGCACAAGATCACTATTTACAGCAGCGGTCTCAAAAGTTGAAATCGCCCTAATGATTGCCAACCTTCGCAAGGAGACGGCACCTTAAGAAGAAGAAGTTTGTTCGTAATAAGAATTATTCTACTCCTCTTAAACGACTACACTAATTTTGACGACGAAGTCATAATGGATAGTTCTTAACTTTAGTTGAACCCGGTAGTACCTACAACAAGAATGGTAATTTGTAAACGTTCAGTGCTGTCGTATATTACATTATATACTAATACTATGAAAATATTTAACAGCAATTATTTTTGTTTTTCGATATGTGGCTTTTCATTTCACGGTTTGCCTTTTATGCTTAACTTTTACCAGGGCAATAACTGTGATTGCGGCAAGAAATTAAAATTTAATTTCTATGTTCCTGATTCTATTGTTTTTTTATCTATCTCGTATAATTTCTAAATTTTATAAGTAAAACGAAGATATAATTATTATTTTTATCCAAAAACCAAAAATTAACTATGGACTGGCGTGTGCTTACGTATTTTATGATAACGGTAATTTGTTTTAACTTCGATACTACTATGTGTTAAATATAATGATTACTAATAATTATGTGAATACTAAACATTGAATAAAACTAATTTTACGGATTTAATCGCGTTACCTTCTTTAAACTCCATTTTGGGTGCTTTATCGTACCCACCATCCATCAAGTGTAATATTCCTCCACAATAGCAGGAGTATACAAGCTTGATTGTGCACTTGATGTCTATTACATTGGACAAACTAAACTAATTATACAAAACATATAGCTAACTCGAAGCACTAACGCTTCGGAAAGTCGGCAGTTTGTGAACGTGTCCAGGATCATCATCGTCCCAAAAATTACATCAGTTGTGAAAGAAAATAGAGAGAATCCTCGCAAAAGAACATCGATTGCTACCTAAGACGATTCGCAAGACTATGCAAAATTTATAAGTGTCCATATTTCAAAAGATAACAATTTCTTGTGATCCCATCTAATATATATACATTTATATTTGTTTGTTCGTGTTTTATGCCCTTCCATACCATTCATTATGTTGCATTAAAACTTTGTCAACATATTGCTTCTACTTCTGTGAAGGTTATAGGTATAGTTGGACCCGGTAGGTGGCGCTTTTGAAGAATCCAGATATCACCCGTGCGAAGCTGGGGCTGATCGGTAGTAACTGGTAAAATTAAAATCAAATCCAAGTAGATTGCAATACTTTAAAATATTGTATGCTCGTTCGCACCAAAATTTAGTTTTATTCAATGAGCAATATATGTCGAAAGAAAACTTTAAATTAATATTGTATCCATATGTTAAATCAAAATATATATATATATATATATATATATATATATATATATTTTGCCAAGCGGGGTGTTCAGCACACAACACACGACTGCTACCGTGTTGTGGCTGTTTTCTTTATTCATTACTTAGAATTAGTTTCTGTTCCCATTTCTTTAAATCATACAACTAAAATAATATAATAAATCTGTTAAATATACAATTATTATTATTTATTTTATTGTTTTTTACTATATATTTATTTATATGTAAAAACTAAAAATACACAAATGTTTAACTATATTAAGCATTTAATTACATTAACAGTACATATTTTAATAGATCTATCACAAAAAACCAATGCTCTTCATACAAATTTTTCATCAAAACAATGTTTAAAACTTTCATTCTAAATCAACTAATCTGAGGGTATACAAAAGTGAGCCCCACATTTTAACGTTCTTAAGATATTGCTAGTATTTAACGTATACCATACAGCCAAGTTAATAGTGAACAAGATCATAAATCGTATTGCACTGAGAAAGATCAATAAACATAAGGGTTTTGCCGCGAAATACGACCGTGTAGTAATGGCAGAATTCAGCCAGCCCACAGACGAGGCTTTTTTTTCTGGCTGATATCTGCCACCTCACAGACGAGAGGCTAGGAAATTATTAAGTTTAATAAAAAATAAGTTGCCTCTTTCTTGACAGAGATAGATTATACAATACGATACGATACGACCGATACGACCTGGGGACCTTCAAGAAAAGATCTTACTCCCTTCTAAAGGGCCGGCAACGCACCTGCAATTCCCCTGGTGTTGCGGTTGATCATGGGCGGCGGTAGTCACTTAACATCAGGTGAGCCGCATGCTCGTTTGCCCCCTTTTCTATAAAAAAAAACAAATATGTATTATAACATTGGATTTAGTCTTTGGGTCCCAAGTCATTAACTTTACTCATAAGTCTTCAACACTTGATTGCCATACCGGCACGTAAGTATTATGAAGATTCCGATGGACTGCTATTGCCACACCACCTCCTTTTGACGGGTGCTTTTGAGAACAGTCCCTATCTCGACGGAATACAATATATCGGTCGTCAAAAATTTCACTGCTATCTATACCAAATGTTAACCAAGTTTCGGTTAACATAATGATATCGTAGTCATTTATAGTCATACCACGTAAAAGCGCTGGAAGGCCTGTGTAAACATCGTATCTGTGTTTATAAATTTCGTAAAAATCTTATATTAAAAAAATAAGTATTTTTTTATGTTTGTGTTCTTTGTGTGTATGTGGACTATAACTACAAGTGTTATCTCAACAGTACGAGACTTAATTATCATAATAATATGCAATAAGTGTACCGACGGTGATTTTATGATAAATTTTTAAAATTATAGAATAAAAGCTCAATAAAATGTGCAAAAACATTGTGTGACTAGTGTTTCAAATGAGTAACATTCAAATCTTAAAGAAAAATTAATAAGTAAGTGAAAAGAAATAGAAAAAACATTTAAAAGTGGCAGTTGAATAATTCAAATTGATTAGGTTGCTGAAATTGCTATCATTTATTGTAATAGCGACATCTATTGACAAAGTAAGGTACTGCTATTGACTCTCATAACATATTAATAGTTTATATAGTTTTAGTAACTGCAACACTAGAGGGCGTTGTAAAAATGGAAACCAACTGCATCTAAAGAGAAATATTGTTTCAAATGTATTAAAAAAATTAAAGGTGGGAATTATTTAAAATATAATGTGTGTAATAAATTTTATGAGCCAGACTGTACCAATGTCTCTTTTAAAAGAATTAATATTATGTCTAAGGAGAGAAAACAGAAATGGAGATGTATTAATTGCGTTCACGAAAAACAAAATAGCAGTACAATTATTTCACCTATGGGTACTACAAATTTAAACAGGCAAGAGCAAAAAACTATCGAGAAAAATACTGATGAGCACAAATATGAAAAAAATGTGACAATAAGATCTAAAAAAAATTACATAATACATGTACCAGCTCGCAGATGAACACCTCGTTGACTTCATCTGATTCGGAATATGATATAAAGAGTTTACCTGATATTTCAACCCCATTCAATTTCGAATTGGAAATCATAAAGGAAGAATTGGAAAGAACTAAAAGTATACTTGCCAGCGCTAATTTGGAAATAGAGAATCTATTGCTTGAGAATAGCTCACTTAAAAAAAAGAATATGGAATATGAAAAGACGATTTCTCAACTAACATGTAATAATCTTTTTTACGGGTCTCAAAAATCGGTCAGTTCTGTACAGAAAAGGAAAAATAGGAGAAGTTCTATATTAAGTATTGATTCAAGCAAAGAAAATGAGCAGGACATGTTGATTACGACAAAAACAAAATTGTTAAATGGGCAAACCGATTCTCAATTGAGTTTCCATAAATGTCCGCTAGATGGAACTACAGAAACAACGGAAAGTAAACAGCCGGTAAAACAATTCAAAGAACAGAAAATGGAAACTCAATCAACACATACTACATTAGAGCAAAAAAAAATTTATATACTGGGTGATGAACAAGCGACAGGCCTTGCGACTAAACTACTCATGGATCGAGAAATTAGGGGTGATAATAACTACAAAATTATGTCATTTGTAAAACCACAATCTCTTTGTGCAGATTCGTTGGACTACTTTAATCATATAATTAAGAACTTAAACCATGATGACAAGATTGTGATTGTGACGGGTGCGAATGATTCTAACCCAATCAAATTATTAAACGATTTAAGCTTGGTGCTTTATAAGTTAAGTAAATGTAGTAGAGTATATATTTTAGAAGTCGTAAATAATCCTTATTTGAATACTAAAACATTAAATGATAATATAGCTACTTTAGTTATGTTGTATAATAATTGTACTTTTTTGACATCGAGTGGTAATTTTTATAATGTAAAAGAATATTTGTGACATATGAGTCGAAAAATAAATTTTAATATAGATTGTTTTGACTATGATACATCATTTCTATCATTAAGTAAATTAAGAAATAGATTGAAACACAACAAATCTATTAACTCGCAAAAAACTAAACCTAATTCACCTAAAGGTCAATTCATAAAGGGCACTATACCTTACTATTTTAATTTAATGAATAAAAAGAATGTTAGACATAATAATGAAAATTGTAATATCAATGAGAGCTCTAAAAACTCTAAACCAAATAACTTATTATTTTCATTCTGTAAAATCTTATAAACAAGTATCACATGATTCCTTTCGTCCATAAAGAAAAATATTTAAATATGAAATTCACAATCTTACACCAAAATATAGCTGGCATTTGCTCCAAAAAGGATATTTTAGAATTAACATTAAAAAATTTACATGAAGAGGAGCATACACGAATAGATGTATTATGCTTAACGGAAACATTTGTTAAAGCAAGTGATTATAATAATTATGTTTATGGTTACAAATTAACTGGTTTCTATGGTCGTAAAAAAAATAGAGGTGGTGTATGTATTTTGATAAAGGAAGATATAGAGTGGAATGAAATAAAATTTATTTCAGATTTAACAGAATCCGAGCATTTTGAATGTTGTGGAATAGAAATTCCTTTTCATAATATTTACATAATATGCATCTATAGGACACCTGGTTCAAATGTGAATATATTCTTTTTTAAACTACAAAACTTATTGTCAAAATTAATAAATAATCACAATAGATACATTAACATTAATACCTTGGAAAATAGTTAAAATACAATTGAATTAAATGATATCATTTCGAATTATAATTTATATATACATATTAATGAACCAACGCGTGGAAACAACTGTATAGATCGTATATTTAGTAATATAATGAATGCAACAACATGTGTTAAAAAGTTATATTTATCAGATCATGAATCGGCGCAAATATTATTTATTGATGTACATAAACAGAGAAAAAAGTTAAATGATATTTGGGAGTATAAAAGGAATTATAATTTATATTACATTAATATGTTTCGTGAATGTATAAAAAAGCTTACTTTTAAGGAAGTTTTTGATCATAAAAGAAAAAAAAGAAAAGATCCATAAATTTATTGTATGCAGAATTGATATCCTTGTCCGATATCAATTCTGCATACAATAAATTTATGGATCTATTTATCTTATTTTATAATCTATGCTTTCCGATGATTAAGATAAAAAAACTAGACCTGAAATAGAAAAATAACTGGATTACAAAAGGTTTGAGACTTAGTTGCTTAATAAAAAGGAAACTCACAATTGGTTATTATAAGAAAAAGAGTGACGAGAATAAACAAAAATACAAAATATACAGCAAATTACTAAAAAAATGTATTGACGTGTCTAAAAGAATAAATTATTTTAAACGAACTAATACCAGTAAGAATAAAGGAAAATGTTCATGGAATATGATAAAATCAGAGGCAGTGTTAAAAGACAACTATTTAAACATGATAAGCAAGAATAATGAATGTCTAAGATCTCCACAGAAGATTGCTAATGCTTTTAGTGAGTATTATGAAAGCCAGACAAGGATAGTTAACCTTAAGCAAGCGAAAGAAACATACCTGTATAACATTATAAGCCCGTGCAAAAGCATGTTTTTACGACCAATTACTCTGGAGGAGAAAAAGTCATTAATAGTTAATTTAAAAAATTCTAGAAGTGAAGGTTATGATGGCGTAAATACAAAAGTAATTAAATATTGCAAGAATGAACTCTCGCTTATACTTAAATATTTGATAAATTTATCATTCGAAGTAGGTGCTTTTCCAGAGTCATTAAAACTATCTTTGATCAAGCCCTTTTTTAAGCAAGGTGATAAAAAAGATATTAATAACTATCGTCCAATAACAATTTTGTCAGTTTTCTCAAAAATTTTTGAAAAAGCTATGTACAGTAGGCTTAGTCTTTATTTTAATGAAAACAAGTTTATGAAAAAAGAACAGTATGGCTTTCAGCAAAACAAATCAACCACGATGGCGTGTTTTGACATATTAAAAAAATCACCGATGCAATAGATGATAAGGTAAGTGTAACAAGTGTATTTTTCGATATGTCAAAAGCATTTGACTTTGCCATGACACCTTATTGCGTAAGCTAGAAAAGTATGGAATAAGAGGACTGACATTGCAGTGGATAAAGTCATACTTATCATCAAGAAAACAGTGTGTGGAAGTTATAAGCCCTAATAAAAATAATATTTTGACAAAATTCAGATCACGACTAGTTCTTAAGTACGCTGGATTTCCTCAGGGAAGTGTTCTTGGGCCTTTTTTGTTCGTAATTTATGTAAATGATTTACCGGATTCAACTCCATTCCCATGCATTTTATTTGCGGACGACATATCTTTAATCATAAAAAATAATCGTGGAAATAAAGATAATTACGAAAATGACATAAAATGCGCAATAAATGATGTCATTTCATGGTTACATAATAATAATTTGAAAGTCAATATCGCCAAAACCTGTTATTTACAATTTTATAGTAATAGTAGAAAGAAACTAGATCTTGACATAAGATATAATAATGACAAAGTGCAAGAAAACGAACAGAAGAAATTTTTGGGAATAAAATTAGATAGTAATTGTAATTGGATGGCTCATATTGACGAAATTTGTAATAAAATTAATAGATTTGTATATGTTTTAAATAGGTTAAGAAGAACATCGTCAAGTCAAACCGCACTCATTGCATATCATGGATATGTTGCAACAATATTAAGATACGGATTGTTAATTTGGGGTAATAGCTCTTATTCAAAAAGAGCTTTTATAGCTCAAAAAAAGTGTGTGAGAGCCTTAACTGGGGCCAAATGGTATGATTCCTGTAAGCCCTTATTTAAGGATCTTAACGTACTTACTTTACCAGATATGTACATATTTGAAGCAAGTGTTCATGTAAAAAAACATTTACATATGTACAAAAAAGCATCTGAGGTATACTTGCGTAGCAATCGAAATTCTAATAGACTAGTTATAGAACGTATACCTAAAACTGCATTTTATCGTAATGGCTGCTACGCGATGAGTGTAAAAATTTATAATAAACTTCCGGTAAGCATTAAAGAAGAGACAGAAACTGGTAAATTTAATACCAAACTAAAAAGCTGGCTACTATTAAAGTGCGTTTATGACGTAAAACAATTTTTAAATGAATAGAATCTTGTTGCCTGAATTTGATATTATTGTATTCTTTTAGACTATTTTTTGTGTAATCTGTAGATTTTGTATATGTACTCTTTTGACATTCTAATTTTTAATTTTAATAATGATTGACATGATGATTGTATTTTAATTTTATTTGATTTAAATGAATAATGCATATTTAAATTCTTTGCTTGAAATAATGATTGTAGTTTTAACATTTTTAACTTATATTATATATTGTCTTTTCATTTAATTAATACTCGTAATTTTCGCATGCCAGATGTGGTAAACATGTGGACTATATACAATATCCAATATTTGTCACCTCTGATGTACCATATTTAAGCGAATAAATGAAATTATTATTATTAAAAAATGTTAGTTAGTCCGGAGTCCTCTGCAGGTTTGGTATTATAATGAAATATTATTCGTTGTTATAAATTACTAAAAAACCGATACGCCCAATCATTATAACAAAATTCGTAAATAAACTATGTTCCACATTTCAAACTTTGTTCTGCAAAATACAATAAACGATGCAACACGTTGGCTGCACTAAATTACTTAAAATAATATTTTTAAAAAGGTAGTTTCGACACAGATATGAAGTTGCAATAATTATTGAACAGACAAGACTAGCATATTAAACTCATATTTGCTAAGCAAATATATGTACACATCGATGCATTATAACAACAAGAGATTCTCAAACTTACCAAGCAATTATATCGCAATAAGTGAATACTTTAGAGGTAGATGAATTTGAAGAATTTATATCATATCAATAAATCTTGGTCAAATCGCCCTCGTTATTTATTGCAATAACCTTTGATTGCTGATCCTTTCTTGCATATATTTTTTTTTACCCAAATAAACTTAAAATCATGTTCCTCACCACGGTTTTTGACTTTAGTCAAAACTAAATTATTTTTTTCAGTTAAATGATCATTTACATATATTTTGTTAGTACGAAGCAAGTCAATATCATCAGGACATAAAGTTTTATGACAACGAGCAGCAGTAATAAAGTCTTTGTTTACGTAACGATTTTATAAAGAAATCGATATTCAATTTATTGATAGGATACAAAACCTTAGAACCTATTTTCGCAATAAATACATCTAGGTTTACATTATGTTTCATAGGAACTCCTTTTATTTCCATTCACATTTACTTAATTTTGAGTCTCAATTATAGATTTTTGTCATTGAGATCCTCTTCTATTACGGCCACTTTGCCTTCTAAATTAGATACTACCTCTTATAATTTCTCCATACGTTGTATTAGATTTTCCAGGTTTTGAACCTTGCTAGACAGTTCACCTATAGATGCTTACTTAATTTTTAATTTCCTTAATATCGGTAATAACACCAGCAAGGGAGATAAAGTTGACTTAATATTTTTCAACTCCTGCACTACATGTTCTAATGAAACTGGCTTGGGCGAACTATGCTACGAGTATCTATCCAGAATCGTTACTTAACTTACATGTAGGACATTTTCACAATGCTTGTCGTTCTTCCAGTTTATGATATCCTGCTTCAGTGATTCCAAACACAGATAGTCAAAGTCCTTCTTACACGAACTACATTTAATTCCATCCAAAACGTGTTCACAACA